TGTCTGCCACTATCATTACAACAAAACTTACTTGTAAACCACTTGTAAAAATGGTTTGACTGGGAACAATGGTGTACACCTTGAATTCCTGTACTTGAGAGGCCAAAGTAGTTGGATCTCCAGTTTCAGGCCAGCCTGGGCTACATAGTGAGACCCTACCTCAAAGTTGGGGGAGGATGTTAGAAAACAAATCTTGTCTCCTTGACAAATTTCATCTTAAAAGAACATTTTTACCATGGAGGGATTTACAACATTTATACTCCTTGCCCGCCCATAAGCAGATCAATAATTCCACTGTGTGAGGTTTTCAAGGAATCTGCAGGAATAGCAGTTGGAGGCAGATCTTGTTAGCTTTTCATCTCTAAAGAGACAGAGAAAAGAAGAACTTTGAGCAGCTAAGGAAGGGGGCCAAGGCAAAGTCAAACAGGGCGGTCAGGCCTCATGCTGTGAGGCCACCTCATCTTTGTCCTCAAGATCCCTGAAAAGAGCGAGAGCCTGTTAAATGGGGCAGGCCCTGGTGCAAATGTCCTCTGTGGTGAGGGGGCTCTTTGAAGAATCCTTTTTTTCTTGAGTCCTCTCAGCATGTTTGAACAGTTTTTGAACTGTATACTGCAAAATTAGGGCTTACTTGTCCTGCTTTTGGAAGCATTTTGTGCAGTCTCTAAGTTTCTAAGAAAATCTGTTATAAATAGGTCACTCTTCAACAGCTCAATGCCTAGAATTGGTCACATTTTCAGGGCATAAGGAGGTCAAAGGATACACCTGGGTTGTAATGTCCCTGAATTCTTGGACTGTTGCCTTCATAACCCCAGCTACCCATTATGAGCCCAAAGAGGGTCCTGTATAAGAGGAAGAGGAATAATCTAGTATCAGCTGAAGTTTTGGCCACAAATCTCAGTGTAGAACACTCTTGTGAACTCAATCAAGCCACATCTGGTGTTTGCAACTCAGGGCTAAGCCAGCAAATCTAGTGGCACTATGGCCTTTGAGTCTCTAGTTTCACAACCATATTTTGCCCTACAAAGCTTGCCAGTTGCATAGTGAGACTATCAGAAGAATTATGAAAACTCAGGAGGGTACAAGACAGCTTCTCTCTCTAAAGCGGGAAGTAATGTTACTGAACAACCCATTCCAGATCTCTTGCCCCAGTTCCCTCTCGGTTTCAAGAAGAGAAGACCCTTCCAAGTTAGATTTGACTTTGGGGCTCCTCTCACTACATCAAGAGTCTTATGAGAGAAGAGAAAGTTGGATAAAGGCAAATAGAAGAGAAAAATCCATAAAAAGAGGCCCTCCCAACAACTGTATCTCCTTTGAATATCATAACCCATCATGATGGAGGTGCCCAAGGATGCTCTGGATTAACCCTAAAAAGGGAAACAGGAATAAGAGAGGCAGTAGGAAGGCCTTTAATACATGTTGAATGTTCATTAGTTCACAGTCTAAAAAAAATCTGTCTGTATTCATAGCAGTAGACTTCTGTAGGAAATAAATGTTGCCAGGTCTTATTTAAGCTTGAGAAAAGGTAAGATTTTCCACCAGGCAAAATTATCACGTTTGATTGTTTTGTACCATTGGAAAATGTTTGTGTTGCTAGAATCACACAATTTTAGGAATAGAAGCTTCTTAAAAGAACCATAGAACCATATACATCATACATATCCATATATATAGCTGGTGATTAATCCAAGGGCCTTGTGGATGGTGCTAGGCAAGTGCTCTACCACTGGGCTATACTCTCAGCCCTTCAAAGCAGAATATTTTTACTATACTTTCAAATACTTAGCAAAGTTCTAAAGCAATACTCCCAAAAGTGAGGATCTATGATGTCTCTACTTTTATCTTTTATATTATTTGGATGCTTACTATGAGCATGTGTTTTTTATCATTAAAAAATCCCTTGGAACAGGTGAGGTGGCTCACACCTGTAATCCCAGCTACTTGGGAGGCAGAGATTGGAAGAATTGAGGTTCAGGGTCAGCCCAGGCAAGAGTTAGTGAGACCCCATCTCAACCAGTAGCTAGGTGTGGTGGTGCATGTCTGTGAGCCCAATTATGTGGGAAGATGTAGGAGGATGTAGGTAGTAGGAAGATCTTGGTCTGAGGCTGGTCCGGGGCAAAAACAGGAGCACCTACCTGAAAAATAAGTAAAGCAAAAAAAAAAGGACTAGAGGCATGGCTAAAGTGGTAGAGGGCTTGCCTACCCCACTACCTCTTAACTACCAGCCTGTGTTTAGACTCCAAACCCTCAGGTAATTAGTTCCTATTCAGAAATGAAGTAGGGAACTGGGGGTAGTGGCACGTGGACCTCTAATCCCAGCACTCAAGAGGCTGTAGCAGGAGGATCATGAGTTTGAGGTCAGCCTGGGCTGCACAGGAGACCCTATCTCAAAAAACTGGGTATCCTGAAGGCTGGGTTTATTCATTCTATCTTTAGGGTTCTAGAGATGGAGAGCACACACTTTTGACAGTTACTGGTATTTTTTTTTTCAGTTAAAAATTAGTTTTAAATATATGAACAGAAACAGACTGGGGAAAGTGTACCCTCTACCAGGAGCCTTCAAAACACTGGAGGGGCCTAAGGGTGTAGCTCAGTGGTAGAGCACTTATCTAACATGCTGAGGCCTTGGATTGGATCCCAGCACTGGATAACAAAAGCAACAAACTGGAGGTAGCGAATAAAAGACTTCAGGAAGCTGTTTTTAGGAAGATATTGAGTATATATATATTTAAAAAAGAGCCTTATTTTCAGGGAACACATCAGGTGGGGTTGGGGAAGGTAAGCCACACACATGTGAACATACAGAGCACACATGAATGCAAGCATGGTTAAGGACCAGGACAAGGACAACCTGTTCAGGGTCAAGTTGAGAGTGATCATGATGGCTGCATTCAAGGGGAGCCCTAGGTAGAGAAAGTAGAACTTGGGCTGGAGCAGGAGAAATGGGAGCAAGGGTAGGTTGATGGGGGGGTGGGTTATTTGGTAGAAGGAGATGATATGGATAAACTTGACAGCCCACAGGGACAATGACTATGACCAATCCTGCCTGCATAGGTGGAAGGTGTTTTGGGGAATCTCTCTCCTTCCCTTCTCTCCCGTCCCACTCCTCCCCCTTCTCCCCCTCCTCCCTCTTTCTTTTCTTCCTTCCTTCCTTCCTTCCTTTTCTTTCTTTCTTTCTCTCCTCTCCCTTCCCTTCCCTCTCCTCCCCTCCCCCTCCCCCTCTCTTCACTCCTTGCTTTCTGTACCAGGGATGGAACCCAGTTCTTCATGAGTGCTAAGCACATGCTCTACCACTGAGCTATACCCCCAGGCCCCTCTTTCCTTTTTAAGGATAATTCCCAGGGGAGAATTAAGCCCCACCCCCAACAGGTCCTTGGGGACCTGACTCATGGGCTCACCTGCTGCAGGTCAACACATCTGTACCTGTGTGTGTGTTTCACCAAGATCTCTGCCACCTGAGAGGTCTATAAGTCAACAGAGTTTTGATTCCTTTTGACACAGAAGGTGACACAGGGACCGCTTTGACATGTTTTTGTATTTATTATTTAAAAAAAAACATTTTTACTTATTTATATATCAAAAGTGAAAAAGCATATATAATCAACACAATTTCAAGAATGTTTGTTCCCACATTTGGGGACCCCTATAGGTGTGGTGTGTGCCTGTCACTGTCCAGTGCATAAGGAAAAACAAACAAATGAACAGAAACCAAAGAGTGAGGATTTTTCCATGAAGAGCAGGGTGGGATGATGACTAAGCTTCTGTTACATTACATTCATGTCACATCCATGTGCAATTCTTCAATAAATTGGCCTTCGTGCTATACCCCCAGGTTTGCAAAAACATTATCTAACTAAGGTGGTTAAGTCGAAGCTGGCTGTCTCTTTCAACCTCCCCCCCTCACGTGTCCACTGCTCACATACAGCAGCCGGAAATGACACATTGAAGTGAGTCACCAGTGCGGCTGTGAGTCACCCTGTAATTGGAGAAAGTTCTGTCCTGGTAGGTCGTGCAGCCCCTTGCATTCTGCTCCTAAATATATTGGAAAAATTTGAAACCACTTTGTCCTCACTCAGGTCTTTCTCATCCATCTCATCCTTTTGGTCTCTAAGGAGGACTGCAGTTAGATCACCTTGGCAGGGGCCCTAACTGATCAAAAAGAGTAGAGAGAAACCATGGGGCTCAGGCTGCCACAAGGTGGCAATGTGGCCCCCATCACTCCTGCCACCCAGAGGGGTATGATGGTGGAGTGCCAAACTCCTGAGATACAGTGACACAGACCACGGAGGAACACTATGCATAAGCTTAAATAATTTTTCTTAATAGTCCTCTTTCTCTCTAACAATCACACAAGGGCAAGGAAGTGATAAATATTCAAGCACACCCCTGGCATCCCACCCTCCCCACCAGGGGATTGGGGTGAAGAGCCAGGCAAACATTTGACCTTTCTTCCTCTGTTCCTGCAAAAATAAAGTTTGTGGGAAGCAAAAACCTGCTTCTATAAGTAAACAAGTCACCTACACTCTGAAACAATACATGTACGCTATTTCTGGGAAGGGTGGGGTGGGGGTGGGGAGGCTTGGCTTTAGGTGGGTTTTCTTCCAGTCCACAGCCCCTCTAATCCAGGCAAGGTGGTCAGTCCTGGAGTGGACCTTGAGATGAAAGAGTCTTTCTTCCATTGGCCTTGTTTGGCTGATCGCCAGCCCCCGCAGCAGTGGCAGACAGTGCATACAAGAGTGACAGCAGCGTGACTGAAACACAAATCGTTTCCACCAGGCACACAAAAACTGTAAGCCTTGTGGTTCCATTCTGCCAGGGCCTTGGTGAGAACCAGGTCTAAAGAGAGATGGGTAGAAGCAGCTGTGCCAGTGGTTCCCTGGGTTTTACAGTCTGAATTGGAGACCTTCATGCTACAGGGTCTCTCCCAGGTTCTCTACCTAGACTCAAAGGTCCTCCCACTCCTTTGAGAGGCTCATGGGAAAGAGCATTGTGTTGGGGGGGTGGAGAGGAGGGCAAATGTCTTGTTTTTCTGTGGAACAAGGCATTAAAACAAAAATTCTTCAGTTTCTTCTCTTTAGATACATCTCCAGTTTTGTCCCAGGTAAGGGCTTCTTTTCTCATGCTCAGGGTTCCATCACTTGGCCCATGAAAAGGACTGTCCCTGTGGGTGGAGGAATCATGGGAGTTGAGAACAGGAAGCTTGATGTTTGTGGATGAACTGAGGTCTGAGAAGATGGATTAGCTGTTTGGAATCACAGATACTAAAGTGACTAAATTTAGGCCTGGGGTCTCAGCACTGCATGGTCTATGACAGAGTGCTGCCTCCTCTTAGGAGAGGAATGAAACTGAAAGTTCCAGAATTTTTGCCCAGAGTCCTTAAGGGTCTAGAGGGTGTCTACATTTATTTGGACTGGGGCACTAGAAAAGAATGGTGGGATGGCTGGGTGTGGTGGTGAAAGACTATGTTTTCAGCACTCCCACGGTGAAAGGAGGAGAATTTCAAGTTCAAGGCCAGCCTGGACTACATTGTGAGTTTAAGGCCAGCCTGAGCCACATAGACCATATCTCAAAAAACCAAGGGCAGCCGGGCACCGGTGGCTCCAGCCTATAATCCTAGCTACTCAGGAAGCAGAGTTCAGGAGGATCAGAGTTTGAAGCCAGCTCTGGGCAAATAGTTCAAAAAACCCTACCTTGAAAATATCCAACACAAAAAGAGGGCTGGCAGAATGGCTCAAGCAGGTTGGCAGCCTGCCTATAAGTGTGAGGCCCTGAGTTCAAACCCCAGTGCCTGCAAAAAGTCAAATAGCAAAAAAGAAAAAAAAAAAACCAAACAAACCAAGAGCTGGGGATGTGGCTCAGTGTAAAATGCTTGTCTAGCATGCACAAAGCCCTGGGTTCAATCCCCAGCAATGAGAAAAAAGAATGGTGGGAAGACAGGGGACATTGTGGGATTCTAGGCTCACCTGTGGGGTTGTGTCGAACTACAACGAGGAAGGGCCGATCCATGATGATCTCCTCCGGGGCCATGCGGGCTGAGACTAGAATGGCTGGAAGAGAAGGGACAATATCTTAGGACACAGGTGTGTCTGCACTGGTGCCACGTAATCTGATGACACCAGCCTTCTATCTGAGGGCAACACTGGGAGGGAATTTTCAGGAAGCTTCTTTGCTCTCTTGAATATGGGCCTTAAAAATTTGGGGACATCCTCTGAGACCTGTTTTCTCCAAGAATTTGGTGGAGATCTATCAGTTGTTCACTTACAAAAATACTTAGGGCTTCTTGATAAGCAAATTCCTTTAGTTTGGGCCCCACAGTAAGACCAACTCAGGCTTTCCATTGGGGACCTTTTCAAAGTCAGGGACCTCAGGGGCCATGGGTGAGGAAACAGAGTCCCAGGGAAGCAGATCTGTTTTCCAGGTTGAGAAACAGGTGCGGAAGTCAAAGACAGGACATGTGCTCTGGGAAGAGGCCTATATGGAGTAGGGCAGTGGGGTCCATTCTGGGTTAGGAGACTAATTTTCCTGCAGGGTGATTAAACTGCTAGGTGGTAGCCTGTTCTGAAAGCCTTGGGCTAAGACTGATGGAGCCTCACCTGAGCCAGACTCACCTGTGGAGGAGGACGCCACTGTGCCACTCTCGTTCACCTCAATCTTTACTTTTTGCAGTGCCTGTGATACGTAGAGAAGCTCTTGGTCTGAAACAGGGGGACGCAAGGGTAGATCAACTGCTGCTCTCAGAGCCTCCTTTGTCCTCTTTGAGGGGCCCCCATGGCCCACCAGAGTAAGAGAGAATCACTCACCTGAGAGACTTGTGAAGTCTGCCAGGTGTGGGCTAAACATGTCGGTCATTCCCAAGTTCTCCAGGGGCCTCCTGAGGTCAATTTCAGTCTCCAGGGAGAATCTGTAGATAGCATGGGAGACAGCTCAAGCTCAGGCTCCTCTTGCTGGCAGCACCTGCCTTTCCCAGTGCCCCACCAGGTATCCCTCAAGGCATATGGACAGGGTAGGAACTGATGTCAATGTGGAAGATGGAGGTCAGTTGTTTTTTTTTTTCCCCAAATCTATTTGCAAAGTCTGTCTCCTTGCCAGAGGTTTCTAATACTTATTAATATTCTTCTTCAATTTCTCTACCCCCTCAAAGCTGTGACTAATTACTTTCCTCAAATAAGGCAGTAGTTTTTAGCATAATTTTATTCAGTCTGATGGGGGGGGTGGACAAGGGTAAATTCTCTTGCAAAGATGTTGAAACAAAAATCTGATCTGTAGATTGTATTTTTGAGGTCTAACCCCAAGAGGACTCAAGCAGTGAGGCTTTGAGAATTCTGCTTCCCACCAGGGCATGAGTAATTACCTCAATTTTTATGAGAGAGAGAGGGAGGGAGGAAAAGAGGGAGAGAGAGAAGGAGGAAGGAAGGAAGGGGAAGGGAAGGGGGGAGAGAGAAAGAGAGAGAGAGAGAGAGAGAGAGAGAGAGAGAGAGAGAGAGAGAGAGAGAGAGAGAGAGAGAAATGAATAAATGAATAAAGAAAAGAAAAAAAAAAGAAGAAAGAAAAAGAATGTGAGCACAGTAGCATTTTAGCATCTGGAAGTTTAGGGTAAGCCTGGCGGGAGCTTCCCTATAATTCTGAAATTATCCAGCCTCAGCCTTCTCCACCCTCTTTGTTTCTGCAGAGAACTGAAAAACATTTATTCTATTGGAACCCCAGCCAGAAGTTGCAGACATTCCATTTGTTTAAGTGTTGACTCTAGGAGATGAGGGTGGGAGTTTAGGACATTTATAAATGAATGTAGCATTATTTAGACATATGCCCCCCTCCATAATTTCCCCTGCTCCCCTTTTAGGCTGGTTTTTACTGGGATGGCTGGGGTGGGAATATGGTCTACAAAATCTGTCCCCTGCCCACCAGCAGAAAGCAGGAATGATGATGCAAGAAGTCATAATCAAACCCAGGCTAGAGTATTTCCCATCAGCCTCCCACACATGTCTCCACTCAGCAGGCATCACAGATTTGGGAAACATAGGGACAGTGATTTCAGAAAGCCACGAGACAGGGGAGGGGGTGATGGTGGGATTAGGGCATTGGTAAATTCTATCTTGGGGGCTTACTTGGGCAGAACCAGGAGGCGGGTCAGTCTGGTCATGTTGCCTTTCCACTGGCTGATGAGCTCAGCATCCAGAATGTTGGTGAGGGCAGAGAGAGGCACTTTTTTTTCATAAGGAGCAGCAATAAACATGCTGAGGGTTTCTCCATGGTAGGGCAATTCCAGGATGTCATAGTAGTGGCCATCAGGGGTGGTGAACTCAGCTGTGAAGATACCAAGATGGCGCCTTGAAATATGGCTCCAGCTTTTGTTGACTCCAACCCAGCACTAGGTTTTCAGCTAGTTCTCCTGTCTTCTCCACTCTTTCTGGAAGCTAGGCTCTACATTCTGGCTTTTAAGGCTCCCCCCAACCACCTACCCACTGGCACTGCCCCCCATTCAACGTTTCCATTTCCCTTCTGTTCTGCCAATTCAATGTCTTCTGGTTTCTGTCTCTTTTTCGACCTTGACGTTTGCTCCCTTCTCCACCACATCCAGCCATTAATTAATTCCCATCCTCATTCTCTTAGTCCTCCACACAGCCTTTTCCCCAGCTGGGATTGGGGGAAATTGTGGCTCCATGTAATCACGCTAGAAATTCATGAAGATGAAAGACAGAGTGAAATGACCAGTCAGATGTAGACTTGGGAGAATTTTTTTCTAGATCTCAGTTTCATTGGGCATGAGAGAAAACTCCTTTCATCTGTTCTCATTTTCTGTTACCTCCTGCTTAGGAAATATTTGTCAAAACGGGCGTATTCTAGGCTTAGAGGGGAACATTCCATGTCATCTTCCTCCCTTGGAGGGTGGCATTTTGCATGTTCACAGGAGACCTTGGGGACGATGTGCTATAGTTGTGAGTTGTAGAGAAGGAGGATCTTGGACTTACTGTAGTTGAACTTGTTGGTCTGGGCCATCATAGGCACAGAGACAGTGCTGCCATCCAACTTGTGGAAGAGGCGGTGGTGGGTGCCTGATTTTGGAAAGGGCGTCTTCCACTGGCCATTGAAGTAGAGGGCATTCACCAACACCAGGCGTGTCAGTTGGTCCACAGCCCCTTTGCTGAGTAAGTCTGTGATCATACCTATGGAAAAAGACAGGTGATCAGGAAGTTATATATCCTCAAATGGATATAAATTGAAGAGACCCAAAGGGCAGATGGAGGAGGGCTAAATGAATCAATCCAGCTGCTTTCAATTTGTTCTATCTTTCTTAGGGTCTCAGGAAGTCTTTTAGCTCACCAAATTTTCTTGGCCCTGAGATAACAGAGTTGGAAACTTAAACCTTCCCTTTATTCCCCTCTTTCCTTTGCTCCATAAGCTGCAAAGCCTTGAAGTCCTGTGTATGTGCTTATGAGGTTACTTTTTTTTTTTGGTGGGACCGGAGTTTGAACTAAGGGCTTCCTGCTTGCAAAGCAGGCTCTCTACTGCTTGAGCTACACCTTTGCTCTGGTTATTTTTTTGGAGATGGAGGTCTCATGAACTATTTGCCCGGGCTGGCCTTGAACTGTGATCTCTGTCTCCCAAGTAGCTAGGATTATAATTGTGAGCCCACTGGTGCCCTGTTGGTTGTTACTGATTTCCAACTAAATCTCACATTTTTATGGATGCTTGTTGAGTTGGGTTTTTGTTGTCATTGTTTTGAGCCAGGTTTTTTTCTATGTTGCCTAGGCTGGTCTTGAACTCCTGGGCTCAAGTGATCCTCCTGCCTCAGTCTCCTGAGCAGCTGGGACTAGAGGCATGTACCATATACCTGGCCTGAATTGGTCTGAAGCTACATCCCCAGACATTTTCAGTTTTTGTTTGTTTGTTTTGACACAGTGTCTTGCTTTGTAGCCCAAGTTGGCTTCAAACTCTCAATTCTTCTGCCTCAGCCTCCTGAGTGCTGGGATTACAGGTGTATGCCACTAAACCCAGCTCTGAATTGGTTCTGTAGAAAGCCTAGTTAAGAAAAATATTAGCTATTATGCTTTGGTTCTAAAAGCACTTGTCTTTCTGTCCACGTGAAAAGAAGTGCTTGGGATGCATGGAATTATTTCTGAATTCTCCTCCTCTGCAGGCCCTTGGGACTGGCTTCATTTCCCCACTCACCTTTTGTATGTCTCTTCACCCAGTCATTGATGATGTATCTGGCTCTCTCCACCTCTGAGAAGTCCACCTGCTTGACTGTGGTCCGGAACAGCTGGAAGAAGTGGGGCATGAAGCCTTCCACCAGCTTCACGTCCCGCTGGACAAAGATGGCATCTGTGGTGGTGATCTCATCTTTGTTCCATGGCCCCATGAGCTCCTTGTGCAGTTGACGGAAGGCAAGGGCTACACTTTTGTCTGTGCCAGAGCAAGAAGGACAGGGTACATTAGGCTCGTATTGAGCCAAGGGCTCCCTGCTGGGCAATTCTCCCCCTGAGAGGCCCAGCCCTGCCCAGACGGGTGGTGCTCTTCTGCCCCTCTAGGAGTCTCTAGAAGGAGACCTTTCCAAACCTTAATCGCTTCACCATCTCCCTCTTTTCCTTAGAAGTCTACAGTCCTAATCCTTTCTTCTAGTTAGAATATTTTTCTCTGTTCTTAAGTATGAATTCTAAAAATTTTTGTGGCAGTGTGGGATTTGAACTCAGGGCCTAGTCCCTTCGAGGCAAGCCTGTTCTACCACTTGATCCACACTCCCAGCCCTTTTTGCTTTAGTTATTTTTCAACTCTCATTCTTTTGCCCAGCTAGCCTCTGAACTCAATCTTTCTACTTCTGCCTCCTGCATAGCTGGAATTACAGGTGTGAGCCACCATGCCTGGCCCTAACTTCTTTTTCTTAAGTCCCCTGAGAAGGTGCATAATTCCCAAAGTTACTGTAGTGCCAGGCTGATACATGAAGCAGACGATGCCTACTCTTATTCTGTCTCCCTGCTCCCAAAATACCTTTAAAATATTGTTCTCAGATAGAAGATGTATCAGATATTACATTGGTACCAACAGATACTACACTTTATCTTCACCAAAAGGTCAGGAAGCAATGAACTCTAAATTTTTTTTATAATAATGGCTATGCTAAGAACCTCATATTTTAAATTCTATTTAGTATTTACACAGTCCTGTACAGTCAACATTTTTTATTATCCCTATTCTCTAGATGAGAAAACTGAGGTTTAGCAGCATTAAGTTTATACCATTAATAAGTGGTACATCCACTGGCCTGTATGCCTGGGCAGGTCAAGGCTAAGTGATCCAAGGTGTGGTGGGAAGAAGATGGGGCCATCTCTGGACTGCAGCTGTATGTGACGTTACTTGGCGAAGCTATAGCCAGCCTTGGACTAGCTTCTGCTTGCTTTGGGCCCTGATCTATGAGGACCTCCTGACTCCCCACCTCTCACTCTGCCCTCTTTCACCTTGGATTTTGAATCCCATTGCCTCCTGGATCTGCTGTTGGGTGTCTCCTCCTGTGGTCAGCTGCAACATGGCCAGCACCGAGGTCACCCCATAGGGTGAGAAAACCACATTGTGGTCTTTGGAGGCCTGTGCCACCTGCTGGAACACCTTCACTCCAAAGTCTGTGGCCAGGCGGGCTGCCTCAGACTCCTGCAGGTACAAGGCATACCCTTCACCAAAGACGAGGGCCAGGCCCAGGGTGAGGCAGGCAAGGGCCGGAGACATCTGCATCCTAGAATGAGTGGAAGAGGATCTGATGAGGGGATAGTTCTAGAAGACTGCCAGTAGGGGCATGGCACCCACCCATGCCAACCATGTTCAGGTGCCTTGTTTGCTGCTGGCAGGTGAGAAATGAACAGATAAATTTGGAGTTCATTTAGAAATGAACTCCAAATTCATTAAGAAATTAATGATGGGTCATTAAGAAATGATGCCAGCCCTTCCTACTCTCCTACTCCTTTTTCTTTTTCTTTTTTTTTTGAGACAGGGTCTCCCTATGTAGCCCAGGCTGGCCTCAAACTCCTGCCTTAGCCTCCTGAGTGCTGGGATTATAGGCATGACCCAAAGAGTCTTAAGCCCATTTTTATCTGTGAGAATCTTGGAAGATACCCTGGTATATCTTCCTTCCCCTCCAGTGGGCTGAAAGGCTAAATTATATGTCATCTTTGATTTTCATGAAGCTTTTAAATTCTTTTAGCATGTTTCCCCAACTCTTTTTCATGAAAGCTAACAGCATAAAAAATCTCTTCCTGAGAGGGTTTTGCTGGAGAGGTGCAGAAAGAGTTGAGGTCCTTGCTTTTGGGTGATATTATTGTTGGTGGAGTCTGATCACCCTGCCTGCTCTCCTGTGGTCACTGCTAGTACAGGGTGGACTAAGGCTACAGGGTTCCAGGAAAGAAAACAGGAAAAATGGGGATAGGTGATGGAGAAGAGTCTGGGAAGGAAAGTTCTCTTTCTTAAGCCCCAGACAGAGTTCGCCTTTCTCCTACCTGAAGTTCTCAAAGGCACCTTGTGATTGGTGGTTTGTCCTGCTTGGTGGCTGCCGCTGAGCTTGTGGCTGTCTGTTGCTGGAGGGGGTGTGTGTAGTTCTCCTTCTTCCCAGAGTTCTTGACCCTGCAGCCAGACACAGCTGTGCTCCTCCTGGGCCACTGCCTCCCTTTATACCAGATGTGAGCAGGAAATAGATGAACTCATGTTTCAGCCCCACCCACTTTCTGGCTCTGGAAGTCTGTGCAAGCAGCGGTCCAGCCCCCTTGGCACCTCCCTCTCCAGGACTTGCTGGGGCGTGTGTGTATTTGTGTGTGTGTGTGCGTGCTGCTGCATGTGTGTACGTGTGTGACAGGGCTTGGGAACAATTGAGTAATCCCTGATTGCCTTGGTCCAACGACCTCCCTGGATTTGACCACCTGTGTCCTTTCTTTGGACGTTCTGCCAGCTTGACCCCTGGTGGTGCCGCGTGGCCCACAATGCCCAGTGTTTGGGACTCTCTTTCCTAGTGCTCACTTTGGAGAAAAATGGCTCATGTGTCCTCTTTTTCCTTTGGAGAAACACGTCACCATGGAGTTACTAAAGATGCTAACAATCCTTGGACTTTTTCTGCCAGTGCTGTCTGCCCCATGTGTGCTCCAGCCAACCTCCAGGAAAGTCTGTCCCTCCCTTCTCTGGGTCTCAGCCCAGTGGCCAGAGGGCAGGTAGTGTGCTGTGTGGTTGTCTGGGTTCTGACTATCTTGGACTCAGGCCCAACAGAGGACTCCAGGTTCCCCGCCATTTTTCCCCGTGGCCTGGAATGATGCACAGCTGACTCTCCTCACGTGTCCAGACTCTCTCTGTGCCCCTGAAGGCTCTCCTTGTGTCAACAGCCCTGTCTGGTTGGGGTTTGAGATGTGCTGGGTGGGGGGGCGGTGACTGAAAGGGACCTAAGGTTACCACAGTAAAGCCTTGGCAAAGAATGGGAGTGCAGCATGTAAGTTTCATTTCTTGGAGCCGCCTGTGGTGACTGACATTGAGGGTTTAGACCTTATCCTTTTCCTCCAGACACAGACACTGGAGGGCTGCTGGAGCCACAGGGGTGGAAATAGAAAAAAGTAGAGTGTCAATCATGGTGGATATGTGGGGTGTCCTTTTTTTTTTGCGGTGCTGGGGCTTGAACTCAGTGTCTTCACCTTGAGCCATTCCATCAGCCCTATTTTTGTGAAGGGTTTTCCGAGATTGGGTCTCACAAACTATTTTCCGAGGCTGGCTTTGAACGGAGAGCCTCCTGATCTCTGCCTGGGTAGCTAGGATTACAGGCATGAGCCACCGGCTAGGGTGTGCTTTTAAAGTATTGAAGTTAGGGAAGGAAGAGTGACCAATGAGTTCTAGAAGGTGGACATGGGCCAGTAGTGAGTGTATAGGACCAGGCTGGTATACTTGAGGGTTTGGCAGAGTCAGGTACCCTTGGCCATACAGCCTGGATGTTGTGAACAGAGGGTGGCTAAGGGGTGCCAAGAGATCCCATGGGGTCCCAGGTGGATAGTACAATAACTTTGAGGTCTACATACTGTGATGCTTTGTGTAGGTGATGGGGTTCAACTGGCGGTATCCATGGAGACAGTTGATAGCAGAGTCATGGGAAGTTTAAGTGGGTGGAAGTGTCAGGATATTTGTTTTGGATTTTCAGGAAACAGATACCAAGGGCAACCACAGCTGAGCAGTTTTCCCATCTTGAGTCTGCCTCTGGCTTTGTTGTCTCCATTGCTCCTGGGAGTCCAGTGGGGGTGGATGTCAGGAAAAGGGGGAAACCTCATTTGGAAAGTTAGGATCACAGACCCAGCAGAGAGTTGTTCTGTGCATCTGCCTCCTCTTTATGTCTTTTTCCTCTTCTCACTTGTGCTTTGAAGGCCCTGGGAGGATAGGGCGCTATGAGGGAGAAGACACAAAACAAACCCAATCCCATCTCCTACCCCCAGAATGCCCTCCATGCCTAGGGATCAAGGAGGTACAGGGATTTGGGAGTGTCAAGCCCCAAGGATTTAGAAGAGCAGTGGGTGTAAATGCAGCAAGGAAATGGCCTCTGTAGGCACTCTGACTCTGGCCTCTCTGGTCGAGTTAGCTAAGCCTCCTTTTCTTCCTCTGCCCACCATTCCCTCCCCTTGCCAGGCCTCATCATCTGGGGCCCAGCTGTTTTCTGTGGCTGTTCTTGGCCTTGCCAAGAACAATTTCATCTCCAAACATGGACCCAATGCCATTCCAAGAATGACACTCTGTTCTGGGGTATAGGAGACCTGGGAGTGGCTCTATGTCCTGATTGTGTGTGTGAGGGGAAGGAAACCTGCTAAGAGGCACACGCTAAGAGTTTCCTTTGGAAACAGAAAAGATTGACTTACTGAGGGGACTTTTCCCAAACTGGAGCGGATCTGTAGGCATCTGATGGATGGGCTATTAGGAACCAAAACAAAACCTAGAATCAGTATGGGGTCTCACACTGAAGTTTTTTTGGCAGCACAGGAGTTTGAACTTGGAGCCTCATGCTCATAGGCAGGTGTTCTTATCATTTGAGCCACTCTACCGGCCCTCTTTTTGTGATGGGTTTTTTCAAGGTAGGGTCTTGGGAACTATTTGCGAACTGTGATCCTTCTGATCTCTGCTTTCTGAGTAGCTAGGTTTATAGGCGTGAGCCACCGGTGCCCCCCGCACATGCTGAAGTTTTTGACTTTTCCTTTGACTTGAATGAGCTGGGGCTGCCTGGTTCAGACCACACACTTGATGTGGTCCCTGACTTTCCCCTTCACACACATGGCCTTGTTTGCCCTTGGACATGGAGAAGAGTAGCCTTCCATATACAGGGTGTAGCTTCTTTTGGAGGGTCGCTCCCTGGAAGACCTCCCTGCAACACCCTTCTCAGAATCTAGCCTGACTCATGGGCTTGTCACTTTCCCTCCCCACCCCCGGAGCCCCAAAACCACTTTGACCCAGTCCTCTCTCCTTCAAGCCTTGACTCTTTTGTAAGGGGTCAAGGAGGCAGAGTGAGAAAAGTCCCTGCTGTTGAAATAACTAGATCTCTGATTTCCGGAGGGTCAGAGATAAGAGAGTGAGTTACTGGGCTGTGGATTTCTGGGGAAGTTTCAGTTCCAGCCAGCTGGGAAAGATGTCTCCCTCTGCCCCTCTCAGGTGGTTTGTGATGAGCAGAGTCACATTTTCCATGACTGTCCACCCTCCCCACCCCCACTCTCACTTAGGCAGTGGCTTCTTTGGGGCCCCAGAGGTACCATCCTCCATCACCCCTTCACCTCTTGCCTTCTTGCCCTTTTGCCTGCTCTCTGCTCTTCCTCTTTACTTCTCTTTTGTCCTCACAGCTTCCTGCTCACTCATTCTCTTTTTTACTTTCCCTTTGTCTCTCAAAATTCTTCCTCTCCCTCACTTCCTCCTCTACTAATTGACCTTCCATTTCTCCTAGCTCCTCTTCTCTCCCATGGGAGAGCTTCCCATTCTCTCTGTTGTCTGACTCAATCCCTCTTTCCTCTCCTTTGCCTTCCAGAATCCCTTTTACAGGCAAATTTGGTTCCTGAGCCCTTCCTGTGGGAAGACAGCTCTGCCTCCCATCAGTTACACAGGCTCCCTGGAATGCTGCGCCCAGCCCCCTAATGCTTGGTGATTTCACTGGGAGAGCTGGGGGTGGGAGAATGGCAATGTCTTGCTAACTCATAGCACTATTTCTGGCCTGGTGGCTCTCCAAGCAACACAACACTGAAAATAGCCCGTGTTTGGGCTGGATGCTCCCTGTTCTCTCTAGGAGTGAGCTGACATGAGTGGTTTGTGCCTGGACTTCTGTTTGTTTAGAATTAGCACCCTGAGACTGCTTGCCATGGCCCAGTCGTGGTCTGCCCACGGGTTCCTCCTTCCACTGGCTTCAGGTGTAACTTCCCCCTCCTCTGCCTTCAAAGCACCCTGTCCCTTCTGCCCTGTCATTTTCAGGCCCTGACCAGCCTCTCTCCTTAAACTCATGTAACACTCAAGCCTGCTTTGCCCCACACAATGGAACATGTGCTTGTCCAAGGCTATCTTTTTCTGCAACTATATATCACATAGAGTTTCAAAACAGGAAGGGTTATAAATTTAACTCAGGCCCAAAATTCAGAGGTTTTTTGTTGGTACTGGTGCTTGAACTCTGGGCCTCAAGCTTAAGCCACACCCCTCAATCCTTTTGCTTTTAGTTTCTTTTTTTTTTCACTTAGTTTTGCACTTTTGCCTGGACTGACCTCGGACCATGATCCTCCTATCTTCATCTTCTGAGTAACTGGGATTACAGGCATGTACCAGCATGCCTGTCCATATTTTTTTCCTTTGGTGGTACTTGAGCTTGCTAGGCAGGAACTCTACCTTAAGCCACTCCCCAAGCCCTTTTTGATTAAACTGGTTTTTGAATAAGTTCTTTCATTTATGTCCAGGCCAGCCTGACCCATGATCTTATTTTTGTTTCCCACATTCTGGGATGAGAGACACTTACCACCACACCCAAACCCTTTTTTTTTTTTTTTTTGGTGGTACTGAGGTTTGAACTCAGGGCCTCACTCTTTATAGGCAGGCGTTCTACCACTTGAACCACTCCACCAGCCCCCCCACCCAGCTTTTCATTGATTGAGATGGGGGTCTCGTGAACTTCTTGCCCAGGTTGGCCTTGAGCTATGATCCTCCTAATCTCTACCTCTCCAGTAGTTAGGACTACAGGCATGAGCCACCACACCCAGCTATTTTTTTTTTTTTTTGAGACAGGGTCTTCCTATGTAGCCCGGGTTAACCTCAAACTCATGATCCTTCTGCCTCAATCTCCCAAATACTAGCATTTATAGGTGTGCCACCATGTCCACATAACTGAATCTTTTTAAGCCACAAGATTCTTATCTGTGAAAGACAGATCATGATTAGGAATCCTTGGGGACTGTTATGACAATTACTTGAAATACCATCTGTTGTCCAGTGTCAGGAATCTTCTAGGCTCTCACTAACTGGTAGCAATTCTTGGTGGGTGGCAGAGCCAGGACAAGGACCCAGACGGCCTGTGCTGTTAATGTTGATGTAATGCAGGCTTGCGAGGGAGGAATGTCGGAGGACGTCTTC